AGGATCTGTACTGGGACAGGTGCTGTTGAATATTTTCATAAATGCTCTGGAAAAGGGGGTGAACACTGAAGTGGCAAAATTTGCAGATGATACAAAATTACTCATGACAGTTAAGTCCAAAGCTGACTGTGAAGAGTTACAAAGGGATCTCACTAAACTGGATGATTTGGTGACAAAATGGCAGATGAAATTCAATGGTCAGAAGTACAAAGTAATGCACATTGGAAAACATAATCCCAACTATACATATAAAATGATGGGGTCTAAATTAGCCTTTACCATTCAAGAAAGATGTCGGAATCATTGTGGATAGCTCTCTGAAAACATCTACTCAATGTGCAGCAGCAGTCAAAAAAAGCTAAACAAAGTTAACCGTTTCGAAAGGGATAGATAATAAGACAGTAAATATCACGCCACTATATTAATCCATGGTACATCCACACCTTGAATATTGCACACAGTTCTGATCACCCTTCCTCAAAAAAGATATTCGAATTTGAAGAGGTGCAGAGGGCAGCAAAAATGATTAGAACAGCTTCCATACAAGGAGAGATTAAAAAAGAATGGGACTGTTCATTTTAGAAAAGAGATGACTAAGTGGAAGATGTAACAGAGGTCTATAAAATCATGAATGGTGTGGAGAAAGTGAACAGGGAAGTTTTATTTACCCCTTAACATAACATAGGAACTGGAGGTCATCTGATTAAATTAATATGAAGCAGGCTTAAAACAAACATAAGGAAGTACTTGTTCACACAGCACAGTCAACCTGTGGAATTCGTTGGCAGGGGATGTTGTGAAGACCAAAAGTATAACGACGTTCAAAAAAGAATTAAGTTCATGGAGGATACGTTCATCAATGGTTATAAGCCAAGATGGTCAGGGACACAACCCCATGCATCAAGCATCCCTAGGTCTCAAACTGCCAGAAGCCATGACTGGATGATAGGGATGGATCACTCAAAATTATTCTGTTCTGTCCAGTCCCTCTGAAACTTCTGGAACTGGCCACCGTGACAGACAGGATATTGGGCTAGATGGACCATTGATCTTATGTTCTTACATCCTTCAGATATTCTCATCCCAGTTCACTGGAGCCACTGGTGTTAGTGTGATTAGAATCAATGCCACATGTCCCAACAGCAGCACATAGGCAGCAACACTGAATGATGTAAGGAAAAGCTAATGGGTTAGGGATGCAGAATACAAATGTGTGTGTGTGTGGATATAGGTACAAAACAACCTAATTGTGGATGTACCTGTAATGAGCTAATTAAATAAAGAGCATGTCAGGACAGCAAAACCTTTGAAAGCAATGACAGATGTGTCGCTCTAAAATGCCACAGGAGTGATCAGCTGGGACATGATATAATTGACCCAGCTGGAGCCAACAGCCTGGTCTGAAGTTGGCACCTTCAGAACTAAAAGCCAGAGATACCTTGAGCTAAAGAACCAAGTCCATGAGCTAGAAGCAGTACAGAGGCATAAACCTCTTAGGTAGACCAGGCAGTAGATGGAACAAGATCCACACTCTCCCAGGGGCGGGATACAATCATTCAAGACAAAGAGTACCATGCTGTCAGGAAAGAAGTTGCCATAGTTCATTTATATATATATATATATATTAAAGCTCACTAGATATTTAGCTTTCAAACAATATGTGTTGTTTCCCTACTAGCAGCAAGAGCTAGTGATGCCTGTTTGGAGCATGATTTCTGGAGCTGCAGCATTCTTCCTTAGGCAAGTAGAAACTACTTAATGGACGCTTTTAATTAGGGCCGTCGATGAATCACAGTTAACTCACGCGATTAACAAAAAAAATTAATTGCAATAATTTTTTTAAATCACTATTAATCGCAGGTTTTAATCACACCGTTAAACAACAGAATACCAATTGAAATTTACTACATTTTTGGATGTTCTTCTAAATTTTCAAATATATTGATTTCACTTACAACACAGTGTACAATGCTCACTTTATATTATTTTTTATTACAAATATTTGCACTGTAAAAATAATAGTATTTTTCAGTTCACCTTATGCAAGGACTGTAGTGCAATCTCTTTATCGTGAAAGTGCAATTTACAAATGCAGATTTTTTTTTGTTATGTAACTGCACTCAAAAACAAAACAATGTAAATCTTTAGAGCCTACAAGTCCACTCAGTTGTACTTGTTCAGCTAAAGACAAACAAGTTTGTTTACATTTACAGGAGATAATGCTGCCTGCTTCTTATTTACAATGTCACCTGAAAGTGAGAACACATGTTCACATGGCACTTTTGTAGCTGGCATTGCAAGGTATTTATGTGCCAGATATGGTAAACATTTGTGTGCTCCTTCATGCTTCGGTCACCATGCCCGAGGACGTGCTTCCATGCTGATGGCGCTCGTTAAAATATAGTGCATTAACTAAATTTGTGACTGAACTCGTTGGGGCAGAATTGTATGTCTCCTGCTTTATTTTACCCATATTCTGACATATATTTCATGTTATAGCAGTCGCTGTTGTTGACCCAGCACATGTCATTCGGTTTAAGAACACTTTCACTGCAGATTTCACAAAACACAAACAAGGTACCAATGTGAGATTTTTAAAGATAGCTACAGCACTCAACCCAAGGTTTACGAATTTGAAGTGCCTTCCAAAATCAGAGGGACGAGGTGGGGTTTATGCTTTCAGAAGTCTTAAAAGAACAACACTCCGATGTGGAAACTACAGAACCCAAACGACCAAAAAAAGGAAATCAACCTTTTGCTGGTAGCATCTGACTCAGACGATGAAAATGAACATGCTTTGATCCACACTGCTTTGGATCATTATCAAGCAGAACCCTTTATTAGCATGGAAACATGTCCTCTGGAATAGTGGTTGAAGCATGAAAGGAGATATGAATCTTTAGCACATCTGGCACGTAAATATCATGTAATGCTGGCTATAACAGTGCCATGCAAACACCTGGTGACATGGTAAACAAGAAGCAGGCAGCTTTATCTCCTGCAAATGTAAACAAACTTGTTTGTCTCAATGACTGGCTGAACAAGAAGTAGGACTGAGTGGACTTGTAGGCTCTAAAGTTTTACATTGTTTTTATTTTTGATCGCTTCCCCCACAATAATTCTACATTTATAAGTTCAACTTTAATTATAAAGAGATTGCACTACAGTACTTGTATTAGATGAATTGAAAAATACTATTTCTTTTGTTTTTACAGTGTAAATATTTGCAATAAAAATAAATATAAAATGAGCACTGTACACTTTGTATTGTGTGTTGTAATTGAAATCAATATATTTGCAAATGTAGAAAACATCAAAAAATATTTAAATAAATGGTATTCTATTATTGTTAAACAGCGCAATTAATTGTGCAATTAATCTTTTTAATCGCTTGACAACCCTACTTTGAATCCATCTCTGCTGCAATTTATTATTATGGAATACAGAGCTAAAGGGAATATTAAACTGATTACAAATAAATAGTCAATTTATCCCTGTGAAGGTCTCAAAGTCCTGTGCTGGGATGAGCAAACACATAGCATGGTAAAAATGTGGTTCTACTCCCTCAGTTAACAAGAAAAAGGTGGTTTTCACACTACCCACTTTACAAACTCACCTTGGGATCTGAAAGTTAAGCTGGGTTCTTCTGGGTTGGCTTGTGCACCCCTTCCAACAGTAAGAAATCTGCAGGACAAATGCCACCCTCAGTTGCACTTGTGTAACTCCCTGCCCCCAATGTGGGGTTGTTGAAGCGTAATGGAAGACAGAATTATTAATTCTGTTGATGCATTAGCAAGAATAAAATCCAGGTCCCTCATCCGTTCTTGTTATATCACAGGGTTAATGGGAGTAAAAACTTGTTTTCATCCACTGAAGTGAACAGATACAGATTTTTAATCTGTTGAGTAAACTGGTGCCATTTTTAGTCACTATGGAGCAGAACTGCACTTTAAGGTACCACTGGTTGAGCAACTGAGGTAGTCTAAAACTCAAATACTAATGTAGATTGCTAAATAAATACTAGATACAGAAGATGACAATCAGCCCCAATACAATCATTTGCTTAGAAATAAAGATTAATTGCTACACATTTGTAAGATTACAGCAGCATCATATTACTTATTTCCAAAGGGAATATGAATTATCCAAGCAGACTACAAAAGTGGAAGGCACTGAAGGATGAAGGACAAACTATTTAGTTTTATTTCTTGTGACTACCACATAGCAAATCAGCTTGCACTCACAAGTATGATGAGCGAGCTGTAATCAAAGAGAAATATGTCGCAACATGTAATTAGCCAACTCTCATTTCGGATGAAATCCAATTCTGGAATATTTTATAGGATTTCTCAAAGGTTTCCCTATTTTCGAAGTGCACTAGTAGTCCCTGGGAGGCCAACCTGCAGCTTGTTGGCCAAATGCAACCTCAGTAGGTGACATTTCTACATATTCATTCTTCAGGGTAGAACCACACTTTAGAACTAGTCTTCTTCAATTACATCTTCAGTGTTATCAGTGACTCAAGAGTGGATCTTGAAAGTGAAATTCACTGAGGGAGTGGCCCGTGTTGAAAAGGACAGATGTAGTTGGATACAGACCACCAGGCTCCGTGTGCGTGCGTGCACGCACACTGTGATGAGGCGATGGGAGCGCTCTAGTTTTGAGGAATCTGGGATGCTATTAATTTGTTACATTGGGTCACAGTAGTTCTACTGATTGCATACAGTAGGCATTGAATGGCTCCATTTCGATATGTGAAAATAAATATGTCTTGACTAATTCACTTACCTTCTTTTCTTCAATTCATTTTTCTAAGGGGATGTCCGTTTGAGAAACAGCTTTAACCTTATTAATCAGCTAGTAGAAGCTTAACTACTTACATATTTGACAGCTATACAACCATAATATTATATTGTTTAATATAACTGAAACATGTACTATAGCATTATCTCCCCTAGTACAAACAACCTCTAGCTGAATGCACAAAAAGAGCAAAGATGAAAAAATTGAAATAGTTTATTTGCTGCATAAGGAAACATTTTGTAAATTACATACAAGAACAAATGCTATGCTATAGTATATAATTTTCAATATTTCACAAAGATAATTGTAATAAATATGCATAACAAAACAAGGTAGAAGACTAAATCTGAACAGCAAACTTCAAAATGGTTTATCAAGTTTTAAACTTTGCAGCATTTGCATGCTTGAAATTTTTAAGTGCTGCAGAAAAGACGTCCTTTCACATTTCTTTGGAGTATTTTCCAAATTGTCTAACTATAAAATACTGTCCAAAATTAACAGGCATTAGTTAAACAACCTAAGAAAAGTAACAGAAAGGTCTAACTGATGCAAAGTTTTTAATCCTTTTGAGCTTTCTCATTGTTAGGAATTATCTGATGTAAGTGCACTATGTGTCCCGTAAGCCTGAGGCACTATAGATTCTGTCAAATTAGCAGTCTATAAACTTCATAGATTATGTAGCTCTGGAAATATCTCCATCAACAGGAATAAAACCAATGCAATAACAAACTGCAAGGTAGAATGGTTTTAACCCTTAAATGCACTGTGTTCTTAGAAATATTCTTTCATAGTTCTCTACTATACACTGTCATTTTACCATGAGGCATTTCCAATTCTACTTTTAATTCTTAAAAACAGACAAAGGCTTCAATGATGCCCTCTCCTGCCCAAGAAACTTGTAGAAATTATTGTTAGATGACAGCACAAATGTATCATGTATTCCTGCATTTGATGAAACAGCAGGATGAATTGTCATTTACACTTCAATGCTCTTGGATATGCTGACAGATCTATTATTTGATACAGTTTTTCTGAGCTGAGAATATTTTACTATGCTTTACTCTAGTCTAGCTGAATACTTTGGGTAAAAAGAGAGCCTTAAACATGGTTACCTAAAATATTTGTTAATATAGTTTAATGCAAACATCATGTAGCAAAATGGTTTAGTTACAAAAAAATTTCATTGGAGGGCCAATAAAAATATATTGAAGAGCAGATCTTTACAAAAGTGAGGTTAGGAACTGTGAGGCATTGACGCTCACTGTAAACATCCTGCATTCACTAGAATCCCTTGTTTCCTTTGAAGCATATGTATTATTTTTTCCTGAGCTCCATGGCCAACAGCAGTGTGAATATTTGCATAGACAGCTTGACCTACTGAAAAGGGTTATTTTGTACAGAACTTCTGAGGTTCATCTGATTTATGGTTTTACATTCTAAATTAGTTTTGTTTAGGTTATCAACTATTGTGTCCAATATTGAGACAATGCAATTGAATATAAAGATGTACAGCATGGATTTTACACACTCAGTGTACAATGGGCATGGTAACTCCTAATCCACGTTAATCTGGTTAAACATAAAACAAATTACAGGTAAATTTAGTTGCTTGATGTTCTGGCTTACTAAGCAAAATTCCGCACAAATATCTGCTTTTGTTCATTACTACATGGGTGAATGAACTTTGCCCAATGAAAGATCACATCTGGCAAGATGTCAGAAGCCTAAGGGCAAAAACACTGAGCAGACTAGATCACCCCACCTCCTTTTCAATATCCAGGAGCAGGACTCAGAATGGAGAACTTCACCTTTACCCAGGAGGTGTGACTATTTGTGTCAAGATGGAGTGTTGCATGCTGGGACCTGTTTCCCTCCCTGAAAGCATCTCCATATTGAAGAAGGAAGCCGTGAAGCACAACACAACACTGTGGACCACACTTTACATCTGGGGTGGCCAAAGTAACAACAGCTCTGAAAAATACTTACATTTTGTATATGAAAACATTACTCTGAAAACTTTGTGGGAAGGGAGAAGATGTGCAGATGCGTTAGGTCATAGTACATAGACTGAACAGGAAGATTGGCAGAGACAAATCCAGCTCACTAAAAAAAGCAGCAGGTTGGCAATATTAAATCTTGTGTTAAGGTGAACCTAGCTAAACACCATGGCAGCACGACAGGATTCAGTACAAACAGTTTGTTTCACTTTTTTTGTGATTGGCTTTTGCACATTGTTAAAATCTGTTTAAGCACTTTCTGGACATCTTCATCCATTTGACCCTAGACAGAAAGATGAAAAAAGTAAGTTTAATTCTATCACCTTTTTATTCTTTCAGAAATTTTACATAGTTTTAAAAGTATGTTAACCCCCCAACTCCCAATCTTTTCCAAGAGGATGTTGCTTTAAATTTCTGTTAAATATTCAGACCTTTTGTCTAGGGTAACCAAAAGATAAGAAGCTATTTTCATTATAGATTTGCAGAAGGGACCTCTTACATTAAAACACAACATACCTCACGTGACTGAGAAATATGCAATCATACCTGCACAGCATAGAGAAGATGCATCCTGTAAACTGATACAATCTCCTGGTGCTGTTTCTTTGTTTCCTAAAAATAGTAAGATGCCAAGTCAAGGAATGTGCATGCAAATTCACTTAAAAAAATTACCACATCTCATTTTAGAGCACATGGATATCTACAGCTATGATAAAACAGGATCTTTACTTATATCAGAAAACTATCTTGCTCATCTACAGGCATGCATTATACCAAGGAGTATTTTACAATCAGGCCAGCCAAAATAGGTCCCTTTGCAACGTACGGTCCACTAAGATGCTATAGCTTTATCTACACCAGGAAAGTATCTAGTGCAGCTGATTTCAGTGCTCAAAATGGTTTAGCTGCAGACAGACAGGATCAAACCACAGTCAGTTGCAATTTCTGAAACTGTAGCTGTTTTTTCCGCAAGGAAGCTAAACCACTGTTTTCAGCAACAGTTCAACTGCACCCATTGCCCACACCCCTTTGTCAGCAATGAGTAGATTTCTTAGTGCAGATGAGGTTCAAAAGGGTCCTGTCCTATGGTGCTCTGGCAAATTACTACATATTCAGCCAAAGACAAGCCCCTCTTCTGTGGTCACAGAATGCTGTGGCCCAAGAACCATCTCCCAGGTAAAGCTGAAGTTCTGTTTTAGAAACTAGGCTGAGAGAAGTGGGCCATACTACCCTAACATTATACCACCCTTTCCTAAACTTATCAGGGGAGCGAGAGAGAGGAGACACCGACCCCACAATAGCCAGTAGCCTGGGGTCAGGGCAAATCCATGCTCTGCTGCAATCAGACCAGGGACTTCCACATCCCAGGCAAGCTTCCTGACCACCAGGCTATTGGCTATTTTTGGGTTGGCCTCTCATTCTTTCATAAAAAAACACCACTTTTAAAAAGGTCTCTGGTTCATCCCAATGTGGAATTTTTCACAGGAAGGGAAAACCATTTCCAGCCCACCTCTTGTGGTTAGGCAGTGGAGGAAAGGAAGCAGTTGGAGATGAGAGGCTCCTACAGAACTCTGGCAGTAGGCCATAAGCCTTCATTTCTAAGCAGGGCTATGTCTACACTTAAACTGCTACACCACCACTGTAGTGCTTCAGCATAGATGCTCACTACAGCGGTGGGAGGGGTTCTCCCATCGCTGTAGTTAATCCACCTCCTCAAGAGACAGTAGTTAGGTCAATGGAAGAAAAGGCAACTCAGAGCTTGTGCAGTAACTGTGGTTCTTCAAGATATGTCCCTATGGGTGCTCCACTTCAGGTGTGCATGTGTCTTTTGAGCCATTGATTGGAGATTTTCTGTTAGCAGTGTCCATTTGGCCTGTGGATGTGCTCTATGCTACCTCGTGTTATGCTCCCAGGTCACACAGAGCTGGGCGGGCAAACCACTCTCAATTCCTTCTCTAGCCGAACGTCCAACAAGAACAGTCTGAAGCAGAGGGGAAAGAGGGCAGGTAGTGGAGCACCCTATGGGTACTCCACTTCAGATGACACCCGAGAAGTATCCTCATAGGGAGAAGGGATCTTCGGAATCAAGTCTAAGACTGAAGACAGTACAGCAGAATCAAGTGCCGCATCAGACCTGACAGTGCAGACCAAGGCATAGTGTTTAGAAAAGGTATGCACTGAAGCTCATGCAGCAGCTCTGCAGTTCTCTGACACTGGAAATGTTTTTGAATAATGCTGTGGAAGTTGTTTGTGATCTTTGAGGAGGCAAAGCACCAGCTGCATCATAGCAAGCAGTAATACACACAGAGATCCATCTCACCGGTGTCTGTGAAGAGATTGTGGACCCCTTAGATCCTTCTGTGATGGAGACAAAGAGTTTAGGTGATTTCCGAAATTGCTTGGTCCTATTCAGATAAAAGGCCAATGCCTATCATATATCTAATGTATGAAGGGAAGTCTCCTGCTGAGGTTTATGTGGTTTAGGAAAAAATACCAGTAGATGAATAGACTGGCTAAGATAGCAATCAAACCCTTCAAAACTGCTGTTTTGATGCTGATTGGGTACCTGCTGAATGGAGGGTGGGAAGCTCTCTTCCTCTGGAATCTTTTTCTATCAGGCTCGGTGGTTCTGTGAAAGCCAAAAGAACTGAGCCAGGCATGATCTATGGGCAGTTTGAGACCCATAGGGTGTATATACCCAGAGACCTGAGCAGGGACCCTGGAGTCCTTCAGCGTGTGCAGAGGCTCAACCACAGTTAATGATCAGAAGCTCCTCTTGGGAAATGGGACGTCCTCAACTGTATTCTGGACTCTCTCAGGAATCATGACAACCGGAGCCAGGACACCCTATCCATGACAACTGCTGTGGAGATGGATCTAGCAGAAGTGTCTTCAGCATCCAAGGATGCTTGGAGAGAGGTTCTGACTAATAAATGACCCTCTTTAATAATGGCATGGAAGTGTTCTCTATGCTCCTGTGGAAGATGTTCAATAAAGGATGCAAACTTGTTGTAATTTGTGTAATCCTGTTTGGTCATGATCGCCTGATAGTTTGCAATCTGAAATTGGAGGGTCAGAGGTGAGCAGGTCCAACCTTTTCTGGTTCTTCTCCTAAGGAACAGACCTGTCTGTCTAGTTCGTTTATAGCATCCACCACCAAGGAATTAGGGAGGTAGGGAGAGCGGGGGAGAAGGATGTGGGGAGAGAGAAAACAAAAATGTTGAGTCCCTGGGAGGAACATAATATTTCTCATCCGCCTGTTTACAAGTTGGCAGGAGTTTGCCACACAGTCGTTGCTGGATCCAGAAATGCTTCGTTCATGGATACCGCAACCCAGGTGGGTGTCACTGACTGCAAAACGTCCAGGAGCTTGTGAAGTGAGTCTTTAACCTCCTCAAGACATATCTGGAGTATACCCACCACCCACTTCACAAGGTCCTGGAATTGACAAAATCAGTCATTGAAGGTGGTAGAGGCATGACCAACTTGTCTGGAGACGGAGATGAAATAGGGGCTTGAGGGGTAGCCTCTTCGCCCAAGGTAGCCTCCTGTTCCTCAAAGATCTCCTCATGTTGGGGATCCGGTGCAGGAGACTGTATGACCCTAGTGTCCTAATGCAGTGGAACCAGAGTTCTGGCAAATTGTTGCTGATACACTGCCCAGGGATCCCAGGATGGTCCCTAGGGAGGCCCCTATAGGAGAGGGGATGGTATGCAAGACTGATACCACCATCTCAGACATGGGTGAGGGTCTTTGTCAAAGTATGGATTCCTGTAATGATGCAGAGGGGAACCTCGCAGGGATAAGCAAGAGACTGACTGAAAGTTATCTCCATCCTCTTCAATGTCCTTCAATAGAGCGGGCCCCACTAGAAAAGTATGGAGAATCCTGTGGTACCAGGAAGCACTGATAATCCAAAGACCAGGGTCTCGGTACTGAGAATCACTCAGTACCCATAAGCAGGGGGTCCCTAACACTCACAAGTCCCTGGAGTAACAGACTCCTTTGGTATTGAGGGGTAGCCCTGTTAGTCTGAATCTGTAAAAAGCAACAGAGGGTCCTGTGGCACCTTTAAGACTTAGTCTTAAAAGGTGCCACAGGACCCTCTGTTACTTACGATTTTGTATCAGAGGGGTAGCCATGTTAGTCTCGAGCTGTAAAAAGCAACAGAGAAGTGGGCCTTCACCCCTGATAGCTTATGCGCCAATACATCTGTTAGTCTTAAAGGTGCCACAGGACACACTGTTGCTTTTTATGTTTTTGTGTGTGTTCATGAAGGTACCCTTCCACTCCCTAGGATTGTTTTCTTGCACACTTGGGCTGGGTCTGCATGGTAGCCCAGTTGACCCAAAATAACATGGAATCCTGGAGATGTAGCAGGCTCAGCAAGTGTTGCAATGTTTAACTAAACCTGAATCACCCCTGATAGAAAGCCGTAGGTGGTGATCCTACTTTCTCACAATAGAGGAGCACTCTGTTGTGTGTCTGCAGGATCAGGCTTTTGGGGGAGCATGGAGTGGTATATTTGAAATCTTGTGTCAATAACAGTGTTCTCAATTTAGTTGGTGTTGGTCCTGCTTTGAGCAGGGGGTTGGACTAGATGACCTCCTGAGGTCCCTTCCAACCCTAATATTTTATGGTTTATGGTTTATGGATGCAGCAATTGATTTGGTGCGCATAGGTGCCAGGGCCAATGGTGCGTGCTTCAATTTTGTCAGTACTGACTGAGCTGAGTGGGAAGGCACCATTGTTAAATATGAAGTAATCTGTGCTGATCTGGAAATAGATGATATCAGGGCCTTGTCAGTGCTGTGTTTCTCCTAAGTACTCCAGGATCTCCTTGCTCGTCAGTACCAGAGGAAGAGTCTTTCACCTCCATGGTACAGAGTCGAGAATTCAAGGCCTTTGACACCACCGATCTAGCAGGAAAATAGGACTTTTTCGGAGCTGGCTCCTTGTGGTGGGAGACCGAGCGCCTCCTCTTTGGAGCCTTCCCTGAGTCCTCTGAGATCTTTCCCTTCTCAGGCAAGAACTTAGACCCAGTGTCCTTTCAACTTTGGCTGTCAGGAGACAGATGTATGGGGGCAGGTAGGTAAGGGTCTCCTGACCTGACTCAGAAGCCGGTCGAAGGGAGTGCTCCATCACCATCATCATCATCATCTTCAGCGTGGTCTCCTGATCATTCCAAGCTCTAGATTTTAGAGCCAAGCAAAAATTGCACTTTTGGAAGAGATGGTACTCTCCCAAGCAATGGAAACACTTAGGCCAAATCTACACTACCCGCTGGATCGGCAGGTAGTAATCAATCTATCGGGGATCGATTTATCGCGTCTCATCTAGATGTGATAAATCGATCCCTGAATCGACGCCCGTACACCACCTCGGCAGGAGGAGTAAGCGGCGTCGACGGGGGAGCCGTGGCGACTTGCCGCCTTGAGGATGGCCAGGTAAGTTGAACGAAGATACTTCGACTTCAGCTACGCAAATAGCGTAGCTGAAGTTGCGTATCTTAGATCGATCCCCAGTGTAGACCAGCCCTCAGTAGCCATCACCGATCAGAATAACTTCCTGACAAGAGAGGCAGCATTTGGAAAACGCTCAGCCAGGCCCAATAAGGTCTCCAGAAAAAAATGGGGGAGGAAAATCGGAAACCTCTTAACTATCTAATTTTATATTAACTAACACTAACTAGAAACACTCAACTAAACAACTACAAAACACGCTGACACATGCACGAGGCGGCCACGCAGGAGCTCAGTTCTGGCAGAGGTGATACAGAAGGAACTGAGGGCGGTTTGCCTGCGCAGCCGTATATGCCTTTGGAGTGCAGCATTAGGTTGTACACAGCACAGGTGCAGGCTGAATGGACACTGCTAATTGAAAAATATCTGACCAAGGGCTCAAGAGGCGCATGCGCATCTGAAGTGGACCACCCATAGTGACACTACTCACAGAAAAATTCTTCTGTCGACCTAGTGCTATCTATACCGGGAGTAGGTTGGCTTAACTATGTCGCTCAGGAGTGTGGATTTTTCACAGCCCTCAGTGATGTAGCTGGGTCGACCTAATTTTTTAGTGTATACTTGACATAAGTGTTTTATTGTTTAAATGATTTACTAAATCTATTGCCCCCACTGGTATTCCTGCAAGGGACTAATTCTAGCCCCAGCACGACTTTAACTCCCACTGCCTGACTGGGGAGAAGGAAGAACAGGCACCAGGAAAGCTGTGTAACTCAGCAGGTTGGGAACTAAAATACAAGAGCTATCCTCCCCTGAGCTTGGTGCTTAAAGAGATCTGAAAAAAAGATGTGTGTTTGGGGGGAGGGTGGGATGGGGAGGTGTCTTTCATAATCTGGGAGCAGCAGCTTTGGTAAGACAATGCCTGAAGTGTGCTCCTCAGCAACCAGGCTCGATTCTTAACTTTTTTTTTTTTTTGGCCAGATCTGCGACTCCTGGCAGGCCTCTCAACACACCCACTTCAAGCACTGCCAGAGCAACTCCGTAACTCACAGCAAGAGCTTTTTGTGGTTTAAAAAATGCTTTGGGGCTCTGTCCAGCTTGGAAGTCTTCATGTTCTACGGGACTGGGCCTTTTACTTGTAAATGGGAAATCCCATTGAAGGTACAATTTTAAAATGATTTAAAGCAATTCACAAATTCTGAGAAAAAAATTCTTTTTTTTTTTTTAATATGAGTCTGTTTGGATAGAAACTTGTCTCAATCATAGCACCAGTGCCACACAAGTACACCACATTTTATGACAGTTATAACATCTTGGATCAACTATTAAACTTTGCTCTAACCGCCCAGCGTCTCAGCGGTTTGGATATCCATTTAAAGCTGTGGCTTTCTAAACTCTCATTTCTGCTATAGTTTAGTTTAGTTGTGACACAGCAAAATGAACTAATGTATTGAGATGTGATGACATCTGCTTCGGAGGTGCCATAATTATTTTATCAACCCAATTAATGCCAATTAATGCTTAACCTCAACACAGTAGCTTAAGCAACTGCATACTGTATATGCAGTCTCTTTCAATTATTGGGAACTGCTGCACTATTTCCCATATCTCCAGAGCAGAAAATGGAGTGAAGTTGACTGATTTAAGTGTGAGGCCTCTGGGGATATACTGCGACACAGTAACTCAGTTTTGTATTATTGCTGAAAGAGTGCATTGCTGTGACAATAATGAGGATTCACAGCTATCCGTTATAGCACATTTTATTGCATTGAGCATCCATTTCTCGTACTCAGTGGTTGTGCTTCACTTTAACGGGGCGTACGAAACACTATAAGGAAGGCTTCCCATCCTATTAGCAATGAGAGCAGTTGGAGTTTATCAGTTAAGAAACCCACACTTACAGCCAGTTGATTTTGTAACTGTTTCACTTGTTGCTGTAATGCCTCCAGCTGTTGGCTTTGTCTTTTGGGTGCACTGGTTGAGTAGGAAAGCTGAGAAAGGCTGTTCAATGCTTCTTTTAACTTGCTAACTTCCTTGGACATCTCATTGATCTATCAAGGAAAAATGGTCCACGTGAAAGGATGCAAGAAATACTATTTTGCCATGTTTTGTTTAGAGAACATTTAAATAAATTAAAATTAATGGAGATATCCCATCTCCAAGAACTGGAAGGGACCTTGAAAGGTTATCGAGTCCAGCCCCCTGCCATCACTAGCAGGACCAAGTACTGATTTTGCCCCAGATCCCTAAGTGGCCCCCTCAAGGATTAAACTCACAACCCTGGGTTTAGCAGGCCAATGCTCAAACCACTGAACTATCCCTCCCCCCAATTTCTTTTGGATTCTGAAAAAACATCCCTACCTTGAACTGAGGCACAAGGCGCCTACTCAGTAAACAAAGGGTTGTAGTGCTCCCACCATGCTACAACCCTTTGTCTACACCAGGGATCGGCAGCCTTTGTCACACAGCCCATCAAGGAAAGCCCCTGGCGGGGCGGGGCGGTTTGTTTACCTGCCACATCCGCAGGTTCGACCAATCGCGGCTCCCACTTGCCGCAGTTCGCCGGTCAAGGCCAATGGGGGCAGCGGGAAGCGGTGCAGGCCGAGGGATGTGCTGGCTGCCACTTCCTGCCGCCCCCAATGGCCTGGAGGACGAACTGCGGCCAGTGGGAGCCGCGATTGGCCGAACCTGCGGACGTGGCAGATAAACAAACCAGCCCGGCCCGCCAGGGTGCTTACCCTGGTGGGCCGCGTGCCAAAGGTTGCCTATCCCTGGCCTACACAAAGATGGCTGGGCTGTAGCTCTCTCTCAGCCAGCTCTGCAGTGCCTCCTCCCCACCCTGCAAGCCAGCAGGCAGTTCTAGCTCCTCACCAGTACTGGGAGGTCTGCATGCAGATAGATGTGTGTCCTCCCAACTGGCTACTCTCTCCATCTGCCTCTCCCAGAAATTCTCTCTCTCCTACTTACCTTTCTACCTCTATTTCCTTCCCCCCCAAATCTCTGGCATGCTACTCTTCTCCTGCCCGCATCTCCCCCACCATTCTGGCTCTGTCGCTGCCGAAGCCTCTTGGCTCACTGTCAAATTTCCCTCCACCATCCTGATCATTTTAAGCATTCAGTTTCTGCTAGCAAATCTGCTTTTGTACAGAATTCTCACATTTCCAAATGGAAACACATTGCTTTAACAATACATGTGAAGCAATATTTACACCATTGAGGTATTGCGTTTACTGACGCTATGGGCACAGCCTCTGAATACATTGATGTCTGAAGACAGAAATGCAGCTCGCTTGGGTCAAGTCTACAGCCAGCAGAATGTTATGAAGACAGCTACCACATCTGTGGCCCATTTTCTATTATAAGAACTCTGTGCTCTCAGATATCCCAATTATGGAAAAAGACGAGTAGGGATGGGTGAAATGATCTGGGTAAAATAAGAACTGTAGGATCTTTGGTCACTTGTGCATCTTTATTTAGGTTTGCAAAACTTCTCTCCCTGTGGATCTCTCACTGTTCTAACTCCCACTTTCATCATTTCAAAATAGGAGTCCAAGCACTCAGGCAACTGGGCCACATATGACTTCACCTAATAGTGACAGATCATGCAGCTCTCCTTGTGGGGACCTCCGCAGGGTCAACTATGCATTTAGCCAAACAAGCTTTTATCAGTATTAAAGATGGTATTCTGGGACCTTAGATTACAAGACAGAAAGATGTACTCAAAAGTTATACTCCATGACACTTTGTTTAATATGGAGCTGTGAACTGCATGCATTACTCAAATTGTTTTACAAGGTCTAAACATTCAGGAAACCCAATCTCTTTAATGAATTACTAACCTTTTTATCTTTATCTTCTTCTAGCTTTGATGAGCTTTCTGCATATCTTTTCATGTCAAGAAGATCTTCTTGAGCTTGATGGTACTTACGGTAAAGTCCATTTATTTCCTGCTCCTTAGCCTCAAGGAGAGTTTGAGCACCTTCTTTTTCCTCTTTTAATTGCAAAACTTCATTTCTCAATTGGGCAGCATCTAAGGACACGTTCTCTTTCTCTTTCACTAAATCCTTTAGTTTGGATGACAAAATATTAACTTCACCTTCTAACGATGACTGGAGTTTTTCATATGAAGCTCTGGGCACCATCGCTTCGTTAATTGCAGCTTTTTCTTCCAACAATTCCTTCTGCAGATTTCTTACCTCAGTTTCCTTGTTAATAAGCTCTTCCTTAAGTTCATTTATTTCTTCCTCCATTTCCTTTGCCGTACACCTGAGAGCAGTTACCACCTCAAGATGCTCAGCAACTGGTATAGAGTTTTGTTTCTGAGTATCTATCAGTTGCTTGAGCTGTGCTGCTTCATTTAATACCTGTGTGTACTGGGACTTCATGTCAGATAATGCATCTTCAGCTTTATCTTTCAATGAATTTGTTACCCGCATCAGTTTCTCATGCTCATCTCTAGAAATGTATTCCAAAGCTACATCCTCTAATGCTTTCCTCTTCCTATAATCTTCAAGCTCTGTTTGTGCTTCTTTGTACAACTGAGACAGCTCACTAACTTGTCTGTGTAGGTCATCTATCATTCTAATCCTTGCTTCTTTCATCTCCCGAGGTTCATCACTGGATTCCAACTGCATCTGATTTAACTTGTCTTGTAGTCTTTTGATTTCTTCTTGCCCTTCTTTGTATCTCTCAATCAACAAAGCTTTCTCTTGGTTAATGTTCTCAATTATTGAACAATAAGAATTTTTTATTTCCTCACATTCTTCCACAGACATTTTGCTAGTAACGTTCTGCTCTCTTTCTTCAAGTTTTTCCTGTAACTCTCTCACTTTCACTTTATGCCTTTCACTTTCCTCTAATGCTTTCCTGAGTTCTTGCTTTAGCACTTCAATTTCCTCACATGCAACCTTCAGTTCATGGACATCCGAGTAAGTATCTTTGTTTTCAGAAGCAACAAGACCCAATTTCATCTGCTTTTGTACATTCAAGACCTCTTTCATAGCTTCTTCATACCGGCATTGGGTTTCTTTAAGTTTCTGGCTAAGATCAGAGCTGTTTTCTGAAATATCTGCGCTGTTTAAATGAATTGTTTCTGGGATTCTAGACTGAAGTTGGGTCTCTAAGTACTTTCTTTTTGCTTCGGAATTATCTAATTTCCTCTGTACATCCTTTAAATCTTCTTGTAGATGCTTAATTTTTACTTCATTGTTGTTTGTTGACTTCTCTTGAGTTTGTGTTGCATTTAATGAGGATGATTTTAGCTCCTGAGCGGAGGTTTGACTTTGTCTGTCCACTGACTGATCAAACTCTGTTTGGGTGGAATGATAGGAATCTAGGGTGGAATCCATTTCTGTTTCTCTGGGTGCTTTTTCCTGCATAAAAAGCGTTAAGTGTTTATAAAACAATGTTATTGAGTAGATTAAGTAAGGGAACTCTTACTATGTGTGCTCTACAGAGATGGACAATAAAAACATTGTGGGCTAGATTTTCAGCAGAGCTCACCACGCAAATTAAGATAGTGGGGGCTAAAATCATCTAAATACCTGAGATGATTTCTGTAGCACAAAAAGGATCAAAGGCTATGAGAGTTAAAATTCTGAAAACCTCAATCATTAGCCAGAGTTCTGAAATAATTAACTCCATCTTAAGAAAAAGGCTGTCAACTAATTTATGGGAAAAACGAAAATTGCAAACAATGATTTAATATTCAAAGAAAGTTTCCTCTTGATTTCTTGAAACTCTTACTATCTACAAACTGTCTTTTAATTTATCTTCACAGCACATCACTATAAAACAAAGTAGCTATTTATTCTGCTATTCAAGAACTGAAAGATCCCCTTTGCTTTGAATTAGGCACAAAAATGTAATACATACCTGTAATTTGTCTTGTAACTCCTTATTGTGTAGTGTTAGAGAAGCAATTTTTGCTTGCAACAATACAAGCAGATCTTGCTGGTCAGTTTCAGAACTTATATCCAGTAAGCTATCAGCACCTTTAAAATAAATGGTTTTAAACCATTTAAAACAACTGAAGTGATGACGTAGTGACTGTAGCAAAAGCAGGCACTATCTACAGGAGGGATAGCTCAGTTGTTTGAGCATTGGCCTACTAAACCCAGGGTTGTAAGTTCAATCCTTGAGGGGGCCATTTGGGGGGGGAAGGATGGTACTTGGTCCTGCTGTGAAGGCAGAGGGCTGGACTTGACCTCAGGATCCCTTCCAGTTCTATGAGATAGGTATATCTCCATATATATCCTTTCATATAAAATCATTATAACTTTGAGATGGAGTGAACTTGGTTTTTTCATAAGAACGGCCTTACTGGGTCAGACCAAAGGTCCATCTAGCCCAGTATCCTGTCTTCCGACAGAGACCAATGCCAGGTGTCCTAGAGGGACACCATTAATATGCCAAATGAAGGAATTATTTCTAGCTAGATTTCTAAAAACTGTTTAATCACTGGTAGGTACATCAGTTTTTTCTAAAGAGTTACAATGCCGAAACCATTCTCTAATACCATTACCATTATTCCTACATTTAAATGGTTCTAAAAGACAGTTGATAAAAAGAATAAGCTTTGAGAATTAACGAAGGCTTTATTATTCACCTTACCTGTAGTGCTGTCACTCAGTCTATCCTTGTTATCTCGCTGAATGGAGCTGATCTCTTCCTGTGAGACACAAGAAGACAATCCTTTCACTTCAAGAAGTTCTATGAACAGTGGCAGGCACTTTGTTAGCACTAAATAACTTGCTACTGTAGTGTTAAGATGCAAAACATTTACTCATTTATTGTGAATTACCACCACATTTACTGAAAGAAAATATCAAAATAAGTTTACGAAGTATATGCCCTTTGTTTTTACACACATTATAAACCATTTATCTCTCAAAATTCAACAATTCACAGTGGATCTCCCAGTCACTGATTGTGGATTATCAAAGTTCTATACTTTTATCCTCTTAAATACAGCCAAAGTTTGTTAAAAACAACAGAACAGCAAGAGCAAATATACCTTGCATACTTGTTCAGCGAAGAACGCCTGTCCTTTTCCAGCAATTGGAGTTGAGGTTGCTGAACGTGGAGAGGACAAATCACTAAACTGAAAAAGAAGTGTGTGTGTATGTATATATTAGGGAGTTCTACTGCCTGTGTTAACATATGCAATAATTCTGTGTTAGCACCAAAGAGCAAACCTAATTACTCAATGCTCAATGTTAACACACATGCATTATTTCCAGACATGAGCAATGTTTCAGTTTAATAACCTATTTCTTAAGCTGTAATTCAATCCTATATTATATATCTTGCCTGCTCTCTCCCCTTATTGGATTTCTACAGCTACCTGTATGTGGAAGTGCATTTTAAGCCATTCATCAAAAGAGAAGACCTTTACTTTCCAAGAGACCACCTTTATGTGCAGCTTTTAGACCATGCCACATTACTAGTAGCCTTCTTAGTAACTGTACCCAATATGGGTTTTCAAGATGTCATCCTAACCTCAGAAAAAAAATCTACTCATGACACGAGACAGACATATAAAATAACAGAGCAAATTTTGCCAGCATCATTCGCATTATGCTCTAGATCTTTCCCATCCCACTACAAATATCAAAATGTTCAAACTTGGACTTTTTCTTTACCTGGATAGGACTGATAGGAGGAGGTGGGGCTTTGCGTTTTTTTGGAGTTCCACTTCTTTCTGAACTTAATTTAGAGACTTGGTCATGCTGAAATTTTCACAGGCCAGAGAATGGAGGTGTGTTAGTTTGGTTAGTAAAGTCTGAGTAAGCAGTTTTATTAAAACCCCCACATAACTTGAGCAGTTTGTTCCTTGTCTCATTCAAGCTTCTCCACAATAACTGCATTGCTATAATAGGCAAGATACTAGGCAGGCTTGAAGACAAGGATGACCCCCACCCCCCTTGCAATTCATGCTTCAGCAAAAACAAAGATTTAGTGAAAAAGCACAAGCTGATGAGAGGTTTAGCATTTACTAGTAATCTCAAATACACCTCTACCCCAATATAACACTGTCCTCGGGAGCCAAAAAATCTTACCGCGTTATAGGTGAAACTGCGTTATATCGAACTTGCTTTGATCCACCGGAGTGCGCAGTGCCCCTCCCCCCGCCCCGAGCACTGCTTTACCGCGTTATATCCAAATTCGTGTTATATCGGGTGGCATTATATAGGGGTAGCGGTGTACTTCATTTGTTCATGGCTTAATTAAGTGACCATGAATGGCCATTATTTTTCCTCTCCGTCAATTACTCTTGTGTTCGGACAGCTTGAAAGACCTATTTCTTCCATAAGGGGAGTGCCTGAATCAGTCACTCCATGGCTTCTCACTTTAATGGGGTGTGCACCCTCCAAAATACTATGCCCCTAATAAGTGCTATTAGGGCATTTTTATTGCTTCAACCTGGTGGGATTTTCACCACTGGGATCTCCCGCAAAGGGCATTCCAGCAATACCCCTTGTAACCTTGGAATGTGTGTTTCATGTTGGAAATCTGAAAAGCTTTGCCTCTGCTTGTCTCCATAATCAAGGTGTAAGAAAGTCCAGTCTTGGGGCCTAAACTCTCGAGTTTTTCCACAAGAGTTTGTGCTTCCTTTTCCCAACCACAGAACCACACCCTTCCCCCCAGCACCCTTTTCCTGCCTCTCCAAAGCTGATTGGTTATTGAATCTTGTAAGAGGCCTTGTTAAAAAAAAAAAGCTGATTAAAGCAATATGTTTCTGCAACATGCTTCTACCATGAGCAACTCGAACATTCATACTATAGAACATTGTAATTACAGGTAAATCTCAGAGTGACATTTATTAGTGCTTTTAAGCATATGCCATTGATCATTTTCACAGGAAGTTACAAACCTGTATAGTCTGAATATTTTCAAGTAACACAAGAGACAAATACCTGCTTTGGCTTTGTTGGTGACTTCGTATCTGTAGAGCAGGAAGGGGGAAAAGTGTTTTATGTTAAATACAATTAAGGAAAAAAAGCAATAATGTCTTTGCGTGGCCCCACCCACCCCTAACTGCCTGCAATGCCAGCCTGGATATCCCATTTGTCTGCTTCTCCAACAAGTCTTGTGCATTTCTTTCATGCTGCCTACATAATTGGAATACCCTTCCTGAGAGAGTCCACACGGCCACTCCCCTCTTTACATTAGAGCCTCTCCATGACATCCATCACTGGGAAGCATCAACAAAATTAGCCAGCTAAGAACTTTAATTTATTCCCTTCACAGAATAAAAAGCACAACTCCATGCTGTGTGCTAGCCCTTGCTATGTTACTGCAGTAATTTCCCTCTGTTCCTCCTCCTCGTAGCTACTCCCCATTGCTCTGCTAGCCCCCTAGGATACTAGCGGACACGTTTTTTGGAGCAGGGATCACTTCTGTGTTTTGGGAGGCACCTAGCAAACTGGGTGCAGTGCGAAGTTAAACAGCCATGCTAATTATCTGCGAGAACTAGCTCATTTCAAGATATTGCAAAAAGTAAATTCACTTCTTGTTGAAAACAGATCTGGTCAGTTAAAACTGACACATTATTTCCTCTCACATACCGGCATCTGGAGAGATCTTCGACAGGAGGAGGCTCTGAATCCCAGCGTTCTCAGAGAGCTTTGAGTAATGTAGGGCATCGTGTCCAAGGGCATCTACAAGGCTGAAGTCAGCACCCTTTCTAATCAAGGTTTCCACAATGTTAAGGCCTCCACCTTCACAAGCCAGCATCAAAGCAGTTCTAGAGAAACACACAGAGCCCAAGTGTGAAGATTCTACTCTTAAGGTACGTCTATACTTACTTCCTGGTCCGGATGTAAGTGATCGATCTTCTGGGATCGATTTATCGCGTCTTGTCTAGACACGATAAATCAATCCTGGATCGATCCCGGAAGTGCTTGCCGTCGACGCCGGTACTCCAGCTCAGCGAGAGGAGTACGCGGCATCGAGGGGGGAGCCTGCCTGCCGCGTCTGGACCCGCGGTAAGTTCAGACTAAGGTACTTCGAATTCAGCTACGTTATTAACGTAGCTGAATTTGCGTACCTTAGTCCGAAGTGGGGGGTTAGTGTGGACCAAGCCTTAGGGCTGTAGCTTTGTCATATGACTTTTTTGGAAAAAACATTCTGTGACATGGACAAATCGATAAAATCCAAGATTTTTTTTTTTTTAAATTAACATGCACAATTTCTCTCCTCATTTCTCCCCACACACCTGCCCCTGCTGCCCCAGGGCCTTTTTGAGGAATTTGGCATTCTGAACCTTGCTCCATCTTGCATGAAGGTACCAAGAGTTGGTACCTGATTGGCAGCTTTTATCAGCAGGTTGTCCAGTTTTCAAAAGGAGTGGCACAGAAGCAGCTTCTGATTAGAAAGTCTATCAGATGCCAGAGCCAAGATCAAACTACAGCCCTGAGAGTCATGGTGCAGTACAAGAGCATCTATTTGAATACAGCTGCATTTCACTCATTGCTTTTAAGTGAACGCAGATACAATCATGGAGATTTACTCATTTCAGCCCAAAAGCAAAATAAATTGAAAAGCCCCTTGTGAGAATAAGTAAGAGGCATAGTTAGGGAGGACAGCTCAAATCTCCTCTAGAAAACCAAAATATCTTGTTATCCCACAAAAGACTTAGCAGTCAATCCCAAATCCAAGGCTAGGCAACCTACAAACAGCGTTAAGAGCTTGGAATAGTGTTTTGCATGCAGCAAGAGTACACTGTATTTTTTTTAAAATCCTTCCAAGTTACTTGCAGGGATGAAGAGTTTTATCAAAAGTACTTTACTGCATACTAGTATTTGTTTACCCTCCTGTGAAAAATACTCTGCCCTCAGCTTGAAAATAGGTCTAATAGATTGGTGTTTTTTAGTTTGTGCTTTGAAATAAACAGACGTGAACACTGTCAAACACTCTCATAGCAATGAATTCTTTCCTTCCATATTTGTCAAAACATTATAGCAATCCTTTCACCCACCACGTGAGGGCAGAAGCATGGTGGGAAGATGGCAGTTGCACTGCTGTGTGTTAAAACAGTAGTGGAAGGGAGGAAAGTGAAGAATATCACATTCAAGTGAAATTGCAGAGATGATTTTTGATGGGCAGCGTAATTGCCCAATTGGAATTTGGACAGGACATCCAAGTTGGACAACCCCAATTTTTATTTTTTCATACTAAGAGAGCTTACATAATAAGTTAGTGATATATATCTCTGCAAAATTGGATATATAATACGTTCAGCTAGTCTTCATACGAGGAGGAGAGGGCAAAAAGAAAACCAGTGTTTCTCATTTAGTACCATCTTCCTCCCTTCTATTCACTGTTAATGTTTTCTAAAAAGAGCAGGAATGAGACTACTGTGCTGTCTACTGAAGAAGGAAATGCTCTCACACAAGTGGACAATGAACTTTCAAGAGTTTCCATAGAGTCAGCAGAAAGCCTGTGAGCAAAAGGTAGAAAGATCTCTCAGAGTGGACAGCACTGTAGGTTCACAACAAGGCCAAGGCCATTCAGCAATTGGACAAAGGGGCTAGTTTTCTTCTTAGAAAAGCTGAGAACAAAACACTGCTCTAATGCACTTAGTCTGTATCAGTCCAAAGTAAGGGCTAACTCTTATTTTTCCCATATGCTGCCAAGGAATAGTAAAGTGCTCTAAATTATCTTATCATGCATTACAAAGTGTAAATGCCAAATCTCTTCAGCAATCCATTTTGCTGTGGCAATTTCAATACTGGTTTATAAAACAGTTCATACATTTTAAAAATTCCATCAACAAAATTAAAAAGAAAAAGTGGGGAAATGCTCTTGGGATGCTCTTGTTTAAAAAGCAATTTTGACAAATCAGGAGCCTAAAAAAATTCAACATATTACTAAATGGTGCAGCTATAGAGAAGCCAGCATTTCCATCGTGGAGTCCTTTGTTGTGTCTTCTCTTGCAGTTTTCCAGCATCTGATCATCACTGTACTTCAATGGCATTTTAGATAGGAAAAAGCCTTCTGGAAACATGTCTTGTAGTTACTGGAGCCAACTTGGAAATGTGGACTCAAGTCAGACATGGGAAAAATCCAGTGGAGAAAACCAAGCTGCCTTCAAAAGAGCGTATATGAATGTTATTGGCCAGATTCTTGTAGGAGGGACATTTAAGTGTGATTTGCTCCCATTTTACACCACTCTGGAAGTCTGAAGACTGTCTTAAAGGGGCCATCTGGCCCTATGTATTTACCCTTTCAAATTTTACTTTAGCCACAGCTCTCCGCACACGCACCAAGCCTTCTCTCACAGCCAGGTGACACCTCTTATAAAATTGTCAGCGTTTACTATTAATGACAGTTCTGGGGAAGTATGATCAAAAAAGAAAAACTTCATTTCAAAAGGTCAATATAATGGAATTCATTAATACAACAAAGCTATTTTGTTGTACCTTCCATTTTTGTCCCTGGAATTGATGTCCGCTCCGTGATCCAGAAGATGTTTACATATCTCAGCATGGCCATTTTGTACTGCGAGCACCAGGGGTATATTCCCATCCTAGGAACACATTTAAGAAACTATGAACAAGAATGAATCCATCAACCCCCCCAAAAAACAACTCCCAGTTAATTTAAATGTTAATTATGACGCTTGTTGCCACAGAGCATGAATTTTAAGGCATATCCAGTACAATTTCCCCTTCATAAACAATGGATTTTTCTTCTTTCGTTTGTTATGAAACAAGTGGCAATGTAATTTGGCTTAATTTAATCCCTTGCCTGAGCATCCACAGAGATATCAGTCAGCACAGCTTTAGGAATGCTGCTGGTTATCGGTTCTCCCTTTGCTCTTTGGTTAACTCTACAGCAGGTCACAGCAGGTCTTTTAGGTCCTAGATAAGTCATTTAATTTCTTAAGAAATATTTCCACAATAAGTGGTGAGTTTAAACACTAATTAGGTAAATAGAATCAAAAGGACAAGGTTTCACACCAGATAAGTCTTCAAGTGAGACAAATTCTAAGTATAAGTTTTGTGACAGAGCCAATAACATGTATGGCAGGTGTGAAGAAAGAAGTTTCTCTGACTGGAGAAATGATATCTAGTTCAGACAGCATGGATGAGGGTTTTTATGCCTGAACTCTGGAACGCCACCAGTCTTTTGTCATGCAAGATATAATTATTTAGGAGAACCTCAAAAGCGTGGATGCCACTCAGCGATTTGTGTTGTCCATGGACGTTTCATGGTGGCTACTCTACTTTAAATTAACTTCTCTGAAACCTTAAGGATACAGAGTACAGCCAGCAAAAGTGGACTCCATCCACAATGTCTCTATGGATTCAGAGAAGGATGATCCAGTGGTTAGGGTGCTAGCCTGGAAGACGTGGGTTCAATTTTCTGCTCCACCACAGATATCCCGTCTGACCTAGGGCAAAGCACTTAAGTGTCTGTGTCTCGGTTCCCCATCTATAAAATGGGGATAACAGCACTTCCCTAGCTCACAGGGCTGTTGTGAAGCTAACACGTTAAAGATAGAAAGGTGCTCAAATGCTATGGTAATGACAGCCAAGGCAATAAAAGGGCCTAAGATATATAGATGGATATACATTATTCAATCTCATTAGCTAGTCCGTAAACAAAAACTTTGTTTAACAGGAAGGTTAAGCATGATATTTCTTTCCACCCCCACAAACAATGAAGAGAAAAGACATGCCAGGTCCTGGGGCACTCTTTAACCACACCCTCATGTCCACATAGCATGTTTCCACTGGAAGCAAAAAACTCCACACCACCACCAAAGAGCTTCCCTTACCTCCAGCTAATAAGAAGGAACAGGGAACATCAGTCTCTCCAACATGATAATGCAAACCCTTTATTCCAAACTCAACAACATGAGCAAGTATTCAGTGTCACTGTGTATACACATAGGTGCTGGAACGAAGGGTGCTGCAGCACCCCGTGGCTTGAAGTGGTTTCCATTATATACAAGGGTTAGAGTTTGGTTCAATGGCTCTTAGCACCCCCACTATAAAAATTGTTCCAGCACCCTTGAGTATATACAAGTTACATGTGGAGTGGGTTGTGTGTTAGCGGGGCAAGCACAAGGGTGCAGTCCAGAGTGTGCTTTATAATAATAAGCTATGCCACACAAGAGGTGATTCACCGCCTCAAATTCAAGATACATTTAATGCGCAAGGGCTCACTATAGCTGCTACCTTTGCCTTACAAATGTGGGAAATGAGACGGGCTGGCACACGGCACTCATTTGATAGCTTTTCTCTATAAAAGAAGAGAGAATTTTCATTTTCTTCTATAGTAGAGATGGGATAGTCTTTAGCTGTTTTCCAGCAACTCTTTCTTGACAGGCTAAGTAGTACAATGAATTGGGCACCAAGCTTTTAATCAGCTGTGAAAACTATAAAAAGCTTGACAACAGTTAGGCTGTTGGCATGCTGACACCACTGCCTATTATGCTGACCAATATTGTCTCATTGTTTCCTTATATTCCTCTGTCAACCTGTCTGTATCCATCGCTTGTCTTACACTTAGATTACAAACTCTTTGGGGGCAGGAACTGTCTTTTTCCCTCTGTGTTTGTACAGTGCCTAACACAACAGGGCCCTGGTCCATGATTAGGGCTCCTATGTGCTACGGTAATACAACTAGTAAGTAATAAGGTTAGTGGAAGGAAGAGACTTGCTGGTCAGGACTTGTCCACACAATGTGCCTCAACCACAGCCAAATGGGCTTTGGATCAAGGCCATATGCCTGTTTCTGGCCACTAACACTAATCCCTCAGTTTCATGAGCAGCAAGTTTGGTCTTTTTTGCATTAGATGCTGAAGCATTTCTCTTCCAGGTGTGCACCAGCAGGTCAGGTGTAAAGGCAACTTCCCCCCAATGGAAATAAGAGACATTAGAAAAGGTATTGCTTAGAAACTGCTGTAATAGAAGTTTGCCAGATTGAAAGATGGAAAACCATTTTAAAGTGTTCAGTGAGATAAAGTACATACCAAATCTTTGACATTAATTGGGCATTTGTGCTCACACAAAAGTTGAACTACTTGAAGGCAGCCACACGACGCTGAAAAAAAAAAAGAATACAAGTCAATTAAATCCATTTTTAAAGTCTATTGTCTCTGCATTGCCCGTGTATAATGGCGGGAGCATCAAAGAGTTAAACTCAAACATTCACAATGAAAAATATTAGAGGTTCTCTTTAAAAAAAATCCACAGAAAGGGCATTTGCAGATTTAGACATTTCCCTGCCTGCTTACAAACCAAAGACTGCAGCATTATGCTAGTGTCTGAGAACTAACCAAATTGATTCATCTCTTTTTACTGTCCAAGCAGACGGAGGGTGGGCAGAAAACAAAGAGCATGAATTGTGAAAAGCAAGTTATATTTAAAAATAAACTAGTAATCACAGCCCAGAGTAGCATAAGAGGATAGTCTTTTTGCCCAAAAACCTGAACAACTTGACCCTTAATACATTACAGCATCTTCTTTCTCAGCACTTTCATGAATATCTGTTAACTGTACAGGATTTTAAAAGCAATGTGTTTGATTCACTTGTTTGAAGTGTAGCAATGCTGAAGTCTACTGGCCATCTGAACATAAGTCACTACAATCAGTAAAACTGAGATGTCATTGATTTAAGCAGGGAGTTCGTTATAACTTAAAAAAAAAAATCAGAAACACTGAAACAATGCCAAGAAGCTATAAACAAGAAAAAACAAAAAGAAAAGTGAAGGAAATGTAGTTCTATGAGGAAACAGAAGCAGAGCCTACTTTAATGCATCTTACTGTTGTGCTGACTACTTTTCCAATCATAGCATGAAAATCACACGAGGAGTTACTGGATCTATGTGATTAGCATTTATCGAGTTCTAGTATAAAGGAGAATGTCTAGGATTGTGTAAATGCCAGAATCAGAGAGTGGATAACAAGTTTTCAATAGAAAAATTACCCGCATAATGTAAAGCTGTTTTCCCAGAGTTGTCAGTGCTGTCTGCTGGGCATTTAGACTGTAGAAAGAAAAAGAAAATGCTTAGAGAGAAATATAAGAATACAAAGCATTTGTTTGCTGCAAGTGCAGAGGGATGACCTCTTGGGACAACCAGCTTTGTGAACTACCACAGATGTCCCAGTCCATAAAAACCAATAAACACTGGGTTAATCATTAAAAGGGATAGTTTTCCTCTCAATAAATCTTAACTACTTTAGCATGCATCCCACTTGCTGAAACACATACACTGGAGTTATGGAAGACAACACTCTTGGGAGGAAGACATGACCCCGTGACCTTCCTAGCCAGTGATGAAGAACAAAAGTTGCAGAATAAAGGAAACTATACATTCAGTACAGTCTATATCTGGCTGTCTTGGGTAAAGAGTACTCTCAAAAAATCCCCACTTCCAAATTTTATTTAAAAAAACCAAACAAACCCATTTTATAATGCAGTTTGGCCACATTATTTATAGTCTTTGTTAAAGAAAATGTATGCTTCATTTTTAGGTATCTTAAATGAAGTGACTATTAAGATAATAAATACAATTATAATCTATCTTTATGAGGATTTTTCAAAAAGCCAACAGCCATCATTGAATAATTTTAAAATCCTGGCTTTCCTTTAATACTTTTACCATCATACCTAGTTAAAGTAATAAATTTTACAGTCCTTTAACACCGCATTTTTCAGTGCATAAAATTTTAATCTAATGCATAATATTACTAAAGTGGTATTTTTAAAAGAACTGGTTTTTAAAATGAAAAGTATTAGCTTCAGGCTTTTAAAACACAGCACATCTATAAACTTTAGCAAAACTGCTGGGTAAGTGGGCTTAGTTGCAAATATATTACCAGCTTCAATAAAGGAAGCCAATACAGTTAAAATTTAAGATGTATATCTAGTCTTCTTGAATTCAACTTCAAAGACACATGTTGATCTTATGCATTCCTTACATTTGTAACAGCTTACATCATGTAAAGCAAGTCCGCAAAGAAACAGGAGTGTGATCAGAGGATGAACAAACAACTTTTTGCATTTGTAACACCACGCCGGTTTCTAATTGTTTACAAAGAGATACATAATACTCAACGAACAAAGCAGTGAGCTGCTGAGTGAGGGAATGGGTACTTTAATACTCACCCACCCACATCCAACCACTATTGGTAGTTGAATTAACCTATTACTGCATGCAGTATGACCAGCGACAGCTGGATGTCATTGTCAATGCTATCACTGGTACTGTTAGAACTGTCATTAACCATTGGGTCCCATCTCTCAATATCCAAATTCTCTCTTTCCAACTATCACCTTGTCTCCTTCAACATCACCCACTTGCCCACATCTGCAGATCCCATCTACACCACTCTTAATTCCCAACTCCCCACTCTCTCCTCTGCTGGTTCAGCCGGAGGCTACCTTTGCTTCTCTCTCCTTCATCTTCCCTCAATGCCTATGACACTGCAAGGTCCATCCCACTAACCCCCAGCCCATGGCACACACTAAACATTTGCTCAAGGGATAGGAGCAGAGGCAAAGTGCCATGACTACAGTCACTTCCTCCACTGCAAATCTGTTATCGCTTCTTTACATTCCACCATCTTCCTGGACAAGCAGGTTGTGCCAGTCACGTTGATTCCCTCGCCTGCAATCCTCTTTACTTCTTTACTTGCTTCCTTAGGGAAAGAGCAGGAAATTAGGTAGACCTTGCCATTCGCATGGAATCCATCCTGGAGACGGTCAGGCTAATGAGTTTGGGGGTGGGAGAAGCAAGTTCCAAAGCCAAGGACCTCAGTGAGGATATCATGCTATCCTTCACTAATTTAGACAGGGGGTGAAGACCAAGGAAGAAGGGCCCTAAAGCCGAGGGATATCAAGAATGCAAGAATCTGATGCAGATGATTATGGGGAACAAGTGGTCAATCTAAAAGACCCACATTTAGCAGAGGAGCAAGAGAGCTAGTGAACACGTTAGTGATCTAATACTCAGTTTCATTTTACTTTACCTGAAGAAGCCTCTTGATGCAATCAAGGTGGCTGTTCTTTGCTGCAAGATGTAAAGCAGTGTGCCCTAAATTAATACAAACAAAGCAAATTAAATATTAATAATTATGAATTGCACAACAAAACTGAGATTATGTACCGTTTCTTTAAAAAGCAATATTGTGCTCCCCATAGCCTAGATACCACAACAGAGATGGGCATATTAAAATATCCTACCTAGATCATAATATTTGGGTGCATTTACAGAAAACAAGTAATTTCCTCTTTTATAGCCATGCAGCCTCCCTTAGATCGCTCCAGAATTGCTGCACAGATATGTTCAGCAAGTGCTTTTGAGACAGCTGTCATCTTGGGACTGAGCCAGGGATATCCAGAGCTAAAAGCAGGAGCTGCTACACCTTGAGCTAAAAAGCCAGGACCCTCTAGCTGGGGCTGTAACAGACTTGTATCCTCTGCTGATCAGGCAGAGAGGGTGACCAGTAACACACTCACCAGGGACATACACTCTGCAGACTCCTTTTGTGCCTGTTTTATCAATTTGTAAGTTCTCCATACTATCTGACTAACAATGCAATACTGTTTATAGAAACAAGACTAAAGACTGCAATATCTCATCAGCTTTTATGCATATAGCCCCGGAAGAAACAGGGAAGTCAGAAAGAAAAAGTTAGAGTATACTAAATAGGAAGAGGAGAAAGAGTACTGTTTCTTGACTGCTTCTAATACTGATACTCAAGAGCCATTGTTTATGTGGTCAGTGGCAGTACACAGAGGATGCGACAGGAGGACTACCAAAGCAAAGTTTCTTCAGACTGAAACAAGCATCAGTTTGAAGCTCAGAAGAGAATAGCTGCTCACCACTGAAAATGATGAATGGATTAATCAGTCCTGAAACAGGATCATAAAGTGACAAAGTTTGGGTCAAATTTTATACCTGGTGCACCTACAGGTTCAAAGTTAACCACTCTCCCAGTTTTGCATGTGTAATTTCAATTCTTCCTCCAAAATCACAGAGCACCTCTCACATGTGATAAGTATTCTGTTGTGTGCAAGAAAACTAACCCATCACATAGGTGTTTTAGTCAGAAACGGATCAAGTCCACCCAATGTTTAAAGCCTATTATGGTGAAAGATGGAGTATTGATGGGTCATTCAGGCAAACTGGACTGGCTAGTTAACATACAGAGTATTCATTCTGTAAATACCCCAACCGAAACACCATAGTCTATTAAAAACTCTGCCAGTTTCCCCCCATTTTCTCTTTAAAGCGTTAATGATAAAAGGCACAGGGATTTTCTTGAGAACTGAAACACTTCAGGGTAAACAGCTTTGAGCTCTTCTTTGGGCAATCAGTTCCTACCAATCAGCCATCAATGCTCAGGAAATGCCCTGCTGCAATTCCAGGACAGTTAATGGGGTTAATAGTCTGGATACACATAAAAGTGAAGCCTAAAAATCTTTATCTGAACTAGGCAGAGTCCTGAAGACATGAAATTAACAAAACAGGTTTTACGTTGGAGAACCATCAATTATTTTGCCGTCTTGAGTCCACTAGCATGCTTAATTTTATAACCCTGAGGTTGAAATTTTCAAGACTGGAGGTATGAGTTAAAGCACCAACAGTGTGTATGTTTATGTCTGCATGCATAATACTGCAAATGCTTTATCAAACTGCTAAAAGATGCATGCAAATGAGCAGTAAAGCACCTAATAAATACAAGCTGTTCAACTAGTCACCCAGTTTTCACAATCAGTGTAGCTGCATAATTTCACGTGACATGTTGTTTACAGATGTCTGACTTCTCATTTTGAAAACACGACTTTAGTCTTGTCCAGGGGTCTCAAACTCAAATGACCACGAGGGCCACATGAGGGCTACTTCATTGGCCT